GCATAGATTATAGAGCACTGAACAGGGTTACCATTAAGTCCCGTTACCCCATCCCACGAGCCGACGAACTGATCGACCAACTGCGCACAGCCCGGGTTTTCTCGAAAATCGACCTTAGAGGAGGTTACCACCAGATTCGCGTCAACCCACCCGACTGCCCCAAGACAGCCTTCCGAACACGCTACGGATCCTTCGAATACACCGTCATGCCCTTCGGACTGACCAACGCCCCCGCCACTTTTCAAATGACAATGAACGAAGCTTTCCGCCCGCTTTTAGATAAGTGCGTCATCGTGTACCTCGACGGCATACTGATTTACAGCCCCGACCGCGCACAGCACTTACAGGACATCGCAGCCGTTTTTAAAATACTGAGTGAGAACCGCCTACTGACCAAAGCTTCTAAGTGTGAGTTTTTACAGGACCGCCTAGAGTTTTTGGGACACATTATTTCAGCTGAAGGAGTGGAAATCGACCCGAAGAAAATCGCGACGATTCAAGCATGGCACGCGCCGACAAACTTGACTGAGTTGCAGAGTTTTCTGGGGTTCGTCAACTACGTGCGCCGGTTCGTCCCCGACATGGCGAAGTTGACTGCCCCGTTGACCGACCTGCTGAGGAAGGGGGTTGAGTACACGTGGGGGGAGAAAGAGCAAGCTGCCTTCTCGGCCCTCAAAGACATTTTGTGCTCGCCGCCCGTCTTTCACATTGCAGATCCGCACCGTCCGTTCGAGCTCGTCACCGACGCTAGCGACATCGCCGTGGGAGCAGTACTGTTGCAGGATTTCGGGAACGGCCTCCAGCCAATCACGTACGAGTCCCGCAAGCTTCACCCGCCCGAACGCAACTACCCGATACACGACCGCGAGATGCTGGCAATCGTGCACGCGTTCAAGGTGTGGCGATGTTACCTCACGGGAGCAGACGTGACAGTACGGACAGACCACCGATCGCTACAGTACCTTCGCGCCCAACCGAATCTCAACCCGCGACAGATTCGCTGGTTGGACTATCTGGAGTCCAACTTCCACTACACCGTCACGTACAAAAAAGGTGCATCCAACATCGCCGACGCACTCACACGCCCCACCGCCCAACTCCACGCCATCCTACTCGCCCAAACCAACCCACTGCTAACTGGCCTATTCACCCACGGATACAGTACCGACCCATTTTTCACGACTGGAAATTCACAGCAACTGGCTGAAGCAAAAGGAGCCTATTACGTAAAAACAGGCACCAACCGCATTTGGGTACCCGCGTACTCACTACTGAGGGAACTGTTACTGCAGGAGGCACACGACGGGATTACCTCGGGACATTTTGGGGTAGAAAAAACGCGACAGCAATTGCACCGGTATTACTACTGGCCGGAGCTGTTGACCGACGTACAGCACCACGTGGGCTCGTGTCCTACGTGTCAGGTGATGAAGAGCTCGCGAAAGAGAAAGGCGGGTCAGTTGCAGCCGATTCCACCGCCTGAGCGCGCCTGGCAGCAGGTTACCATGGATTTCGTCACAGGGTTACCTTCGAACCCTGGGGGTAACGACGCGGTTATGGTCGTCGTTGACAGGTTGACGAAAATGGCTCACTTCGCTGCGTGCAAGAAATCGATCTCAGCCGAAGAAACCGCTCGCCTGTTCATCGCAACCATCGTTCGACTACACGGGATACCAGCCGCGATAATCAGCGACCGCGACACGAAGTTCACCAGCAATTTCTGGAAGAACCTCTGGGAGCAGTTCGGGACCAGGCTACAGTTCAGCTCGTCGTACCACCCCGAGACCGACGGTCAAACAGAGCGGACGAATCAGACGATGGAGCAGTTGATTTGTGCCACGTGCGACGACCCGACAACTTGGGAGCAGCAGCTACCGCTGATTGAGTTCGCGTACAACAACGCCACGTCAGCGACGACGCAGCAGTCCCCATTCTACCTGAACTACGGGCAAAACCCTACAGTGCCCATGACGCCGAGTCCGGACAACCCAACGCCACGTGCACAGCAATTCGCCGAAATTCTGCACGCTGCCCGCACCAGAGCCGCGGAAGCAATTAAAAAAGCAAATGTCATCGCTAAGCGCAACGCTGACCGCCACCGCCGCCCAGTCACATACCAGTCAGGCGATTACGTACTGCTCGATACACAGAATTTAAGACTGCCCGTCGTACCGAAATTACGACCCCGCTACTGTGGACCATTCCAAATCAGCCACATGATTACCCCAGTGACAGCCCACTTACTGTTGCCGACAGACTGGTACATCAGCCCATCATTCCACGTCAGCCTACTTCGCCCCTACATCCCAACCACAAGCCAACTGCCTCGTCACCGCCCGCCCTCCATGACTCGCCCTGCATCGGAGCCAATCATCGAGCCCGAAAAAATCCTGAGCCATCGGATTCGACACCCCACGGGAATCAGGAGGATTGAATTCCTCGTTCGCTGGAAGGACCGCACGCCAACTGAGGATAGCTGGGTGCCCCTGGCCAACATCGAAAACCACCCTGCCCTGCAAGTGTACCTGAGGAGCCGGGGTTTCCGCGATATACACGCACTCGCGTAGCGGAGGGGGCTTCTTGAGGGGGGGGGGGGGGTAGTGTAAGGAATTTTCTCGACATTCCTTAGCGCAGCCCGCAACATCGCGTACAGCAACAGCCGTTGTTCGCCCGTTACTGCTAACGGGGCTTCGCCGACTTCGCGCGCACTGTTTTCACCAAACCTCGCACTGCTGGAGCAGCCGAGTCGGCCTACGCTTCGGGACTAGCCCGAACCTCGCGCCAGCGCAGCATCAGCTAGCTCGCACGCGCCGCGTTACCGTTTGCATGTTTCGCGTATAAATGTTCGCTCATGCCTTCGCTCACATCTTGTACTTTTTGACACCTTAGTGCAATCCTCGCTATCTCGATTCATTGCACCCGTAACACCAATTCAGAATAGAGAAAAGTTGCTCTGAGTGCGTTGTCCGACTAGCGGTGTGTCACATTGTCCCACTCGACACACGCACCTCCGTACTCAAGTTCGTTTCAGCGGTTCATGCTTGGACGTGAGGGCGATCCGGGAGTCCTCGCATCGTGTCGCATGATTCGATTGCGGTGCTTATGGTGAATGATTGCTGATGTGGCAAAAGTCGCAGCGTGCCCAGCCGCGTTTTCCTACAAACTCCAGGACGACAAATGCTCCCCAACGACCATCCCAAAGAACAGCTCCTGCCTGGGTTCGGCTTGAGCGAGGAGCCAGCCAGCTAACATCTGTCGCATTCACGGGAACTGTATCTTCAAGCGAAACCTTCTGCGACTGTTCGATTGCCGTATGACGACTCACTGTCGTCGATGGCAACCGCACCGCCTGAAGTGGATGAGCGCTGCGACACACCATTTTTCGCCACACAATCACAGTGTCCTTTGGACCATCTGCGATGGGTCGCACATGCGCTTGCGGCTTGGAGCCCATAACAGAAAGGGCCATCGCATGCTAACGAAGTTGACGGAACGACGACCTGCCAACCAAACCTACAGGGGCTCATTCTTTTTCGAATTCTCTATCTTCCAAACCTGTCGCTCAGACGTCAGATAGTAGTCATTCCCACATCGAAATAATCGCAGGAGATTTCAGAGCATCCAGCCTCTATCGCACGACAAGTGAGGAGCAACCAGGAGCTGACGGAAAAGTGGCAATCTCGAGGGGTCTGCGAAACCCAAGGAAACAATCTCTGGGTTCAACCAACCCAGCCCGCACAACTGGAACGAAGTTTTTCCTGCTCTCATCAGATCAAGGTAAAAAGTGTTTCTGATACACGGCCTGGGGTTCTCAGACAAACACCCTAAACATTAGTAGGACCCTAGAGACAGAGTTAGCCGTGTCATTTCACCCGCGCGGCGACATTTCCGCTTACTCTGCTTTTAATCTATCCGTCGTGTGAAGGAATAAGGGGAGTGCCTTTGATTTTCCTTGTCCGTGAAGATGGCTGCTGCTCCAGGTCTTCGGAACAGCGTGAGTTGCGGTTCAAGGCGGGGTTTGCGGACGACATTTCGAAGTTCTGCTCACTCCACATGCGTTTTGTTTTCTCTCACTGAAGCTCGCGTCATTTTCTTTCGTCAGGTGATTAACTACAGCGAGATCTGAATTCCATCGTTCCGAATCCCATGTCCCACTGTCCCACTCCCAACAGGCCCCACTGGCAACGCTAGCAAATCTTTCCACTGGTCTCTCTGCGCCACGTGTCGTCTCCGTCACTGCTCTGAACAGCAGCGCACGTCTCGCGACAGTGGCCTGTTCTTATGACGTGAAAGGCGGCGGTGACAGTCAGGAGGACAGCACCAGCAACGGCAGCAGACGCAGCAAGAGAAACAGCAGGAGTAGCAGAGCTAGCAGGAGAGGCGCATCTGCCGACGGAGGACGGGGAAACGCAATGGCGGTCGGGGAAGTGACCGTTGGTTTGTCGGGAAAGCTGCCTGCTTACGGGCTCGGCAACGGGGTGGACTACGGCTTGGAGCACGACACGTGGCAGTGGGGCCCGGCAAGAGCGCAACAGCAGCAGCAGCAGTACCAGCAGCATCAGCAGCAGCCGGCGTCGCCGCCGCAACCCCCGCCGCTTCAGCTGGGAGGTCTAGATCCCGAGGGCTGGCAGCCGTGGGGCGTTGATCGTCAGCAGCAGCAGTCGGTCGTTCAGCAGTCGCAATCGCTGTCGCAGACGTCGCAGCCGGCGTATGGTGTTTGGTCGACGCGAAGCATGTACCCTCCTTCTCCATCAAACGCGCATCAGCAGCAGCAGCAGCACCAGTTTCCGAGCCTGCGTCAGAATTACCAACCCCATCCCGAGCCTCCTGCGTCGCCGTCTATGTCCCCTTCGCTCGGCCCTTCCCTGTCGCACATACAATCGCCATCCTTGTCGCCATCGCTGTCGCCTGCGCTGTCGTCGCGTTCGACGCCGCCGGCGTACTATCGCACGCGTCTGTCGGAGCCAACTCCGGCGACACGTCAGCAACAACCCGCGCTGATGTGGCATGACGTCATGGCAGAGCTGGTGCGCCGCGGGCAGCTGACGACAGCAGTTGATGTGTTAGAACAGGCTGTTGCTGACGGGACACAGTTCGAGCCGCTCTCACCTCTCTCTCTATCCGAACGACCGAGCTCCACCGCCACGTCGGCAGATCCTCCCAGCACGGCGGCGGTGCGCAGCCTGTTCGCGGCGCTCCAGAAGGCGGGCGGCCCGGCGGAGCAGGACAACTGGCAGCGCGAGGGGCGGCACCTCTTGGGGCTCGCGTCGCGGGCATTGGATGCAGTCGCGGCTGCCGGCTGGAGGTATGTTTTGGAGATCGTGAGGAATGGTGGATGGTGGATCATGGGGTGTGGTGGACTGATGCTTCCTGTCGCGCACTGCTGAATGCTATCCCTCCGTAAACCCTTCCGCCTGTCCCCATCCCTCCCAACCGTTTTCTATCCCCAGGGATCCTCTGCCGTTCACGTGTCTGATCACCATGCTCCAGCGCGCCTGCCGCTCGCACGAGCTGCTCGCATTGGTGGAGCGCATGCGCGCGCTCGACGTGCCCCTGGACGCGTACACGCTCACCACCGCACTCGGCGCCGCCATGCGCGTTGCTGACGTGGTCGCTGCTGAGACCATCTGGGCCGAAATGACCGCCGCGAGCCACGCTGGTGGTGCTGCCGGTGCTGTTTCCACTGCTGTAGCTGGTGCAGCCGTCGCCGCCGCCCCCTCTGCCGTCGCGTTCACGATGATGATGTCGCTGTACGGCCGTGCCGGCCGCCTTGACGACGCGTTGCGAATGTTCCGCGAAATGAAGACCGCGGGAGTCGCGCCGGACGGCAAGGCCTACTCCACCTTAATCGGCTCCCTAGCTCGCGCGTTAAGAGCGGATGACGTGGAAGAATTAGTCCGCGAGATGACGGAGGGGACTTCCGCCTCTCCCGCCGCCACCGGCGCTGTCGGATCCGGCCCGTCTCCCTCGCAGCGCGTGCCGCCATCTGTGTACACGAGCTTAGTCAGCATGTACGGACGGCTGGGCCGGCTTGATGACGTGGCGCGCGTGCTGCGCGACATGCGCGCGCGCAAGGCGCAGGCGGAGCAGAGCCTTTTCGTGGAGGCGGTGAAGGGGTGCACGGTGGCGCAGCGCAAGGCCACCGCCGCCGCCGTCGCCGCGCAACAGAGCGCGGGAAGCGGCGGAAAGCAGCAGATAGGGAAGCGTCTCGAGGAAGAGACGGGCGGTGGTAGCAGCAGTGGCGGAAGCAGCTGCGTTACGAGCAGCAGCAGCTCCAGCAGCCACGTCAGCATAGGAGGAAGCAGCAGCGGGAGCGACGACGGGAGTGATACCAGCAGTAGTGCTAGTAGCGAGGAGATCTGTGCCCGCTCCATTAGTAGCACCAGCAGCGGAGCGGAGGGGGATGGGACGTCGGCGGCAGTGGCGCAAGCAGCAGGGGCAACGGCGGCGGCTGTGGTGGCAGTGGTGGCGGAAATGCGCCTGTTGGGCTGGCGCCCTGATCCCGCCCTCCTCCGCAACCTCCTCTCCGCGCCTTCCGCCCAGTCGTCCCTCCGCTCCTCCCCGCCCTCCCCGTCCGCGCAGGCAGGGGACCCGTCCGGGGAAGATGCAAGCGCAGGGGCAAGGGCGGGTGTGGGGGCAGCAGGGTTCGACAAGGGCGGGGAAAAGTCGAGGGGGACGGGGGCATGGCAGGTGCAGGCTCCGCAAGGGGGTGCGGGGAACAGGGTGGGCGGAACGAGCGGAGGGGGAATGAAGGGGCGGGGAGGGCAGCAATGGCGGGAAGGCAATGGCGGAAGAAACGGGTGGGCGCAAGGCGGAGGAGGCGGAAACGGAGGCGGGGGAGGGGGAGAAAGGGGAGGCCCGTCGGCGCCAGCCCAGTCCGAATACTCGTGGTTCTCGCGCATCCTGCAGTGCAAGCGGCAGAGAAACTTCCAGGAAGCAGCGCGGGTGTATGAGCGCATGCGGGCGGCGGGTGTGAAGCCGCAGCAGCAGACGCTGAGCCTGGCGATGGAGGTCATGGGCGAGCTGGGCAACGTGCAGGGCGCTGAACGCGCTCTGGAGGAGGCGGAGGCTGCTGGGACTCCTGTTGACATTGTGAGTTCATCTGGGATTGTGGGTGTGTGCGTGTGAGCCTGGCGATGGAGGTCATGGGCGAGCTGGGCAACGTGCAGGGCGCTGAGCGCGCGCTGGAAGAAGCTGAGGCAGCTGGCACGCCTGTGGACATCGTGAGTGGATGGGATTGTGTATGTGCTGCGTGTGTGCATGCGAGTGTGTTCGTGTGTGTGCGTGTATGGCTGGCGATGGAGGTGATGGACGAGCTGGGCAACGTGCAGGGCGCTGAGTGGGGTGTTTGTGAGTGTCATTCTAGTGAACACTCCAGCAGGGTTAATGAGCCTGATAACGAGCTCACTCACTCACTCACTCTCTCACTCTTCTTCACTCACCCCACCAGGTGTGTTTCAACACGCTGCTGAATGTATATGCCAAGGCGGGGAAGTCGAGCAAAGCGCAGGCAGTGTTCACACGCATGCAGGCAGCGGGGGTCACGCCCAACACGCGCTCGCACACGGTGCTGCTCAAAGCGCTCTCCAAGGACGGCCGCGGCAAGGAGGCTGTTGCTGCGTTCCGAGCCATGGAGCGCGGCGGCTGCCACCTGGACGAGGTGAGCTGTCACGGCAACTCCTTTGCCTTTTTGTTTAGTTGTTTCGTTTTGACTCCTGGTTTTTGGCCCTAGGAGAAGAACCTCAGGTGCGAGGGTATCCTCCAACAGTACACTGACTCCACAGGGTGTCTTACATCACTTATCCTGCAATGCTTCTGCCGTTCTCCCCATCCCCCTCCCCAGATCGCCTACAACACGGTGATCAACGCGTGTGGCAACGACCTCCCAGTGGACGAGACCCTCCGCCTGCTCCGCGCCATGCGGGTTGAGGGTTCACTTCCCCACCACTCTCCCCCCACCACCCACCCCACCCCATTCAGATCGCCTACAACACGGTCATCAACGCGTGCGGCAACGACCTCCCAGTGGACGAAACCCTCCGTCTCCTCCGCGCCATGCGGCGCAGCGGCTACCGCCCCAACCTCGTGACTCGCAACCTGGTCCTCTCGCTCCTCGTCAAGGCGGGCCGCACGGCCGACGCGAGTGAACTATTTGAGGAGGCGAGGGCAGCGGGGGAGGAGGACGCGTTCATGTACTGCACCATGGCGCACGCGTTTGGGCGGAGGAGGGAGCTGGAGCGCATGGAGGGTGTGCTGGGGGACGCGGCGGCAAGAAGGATGGTGTCGCTGCCGCTGCTGAACGCGTGCATGGACGCGTATGGCAAGGCGGGGCTGCTTGCGAATATGGAGACCTGCCTGGCGCGCATCCGCTCCTTTGACTTCGTGCCCAACCACACCAGGTATGATCCCAGAGATGGAGGACGCACTAGCCCGCATGAGGCGCAGCGGCCTGCGCCCCGACGTGTACTCGTACAACATCCTCATCGGTGCATATGGGGATGCGGGCATGCCCTGCTGTAGCTCTCTACCCACAACCCCCTGCTTTTCTCTGCCCTCCCCTGCCCCTGCCCCCTGCCCCCTGCGACTTCCCCCTCCCCTTCCCTCCTCCCCTCTCTCAGTTTCAACATAGTGATCCACGCATACGGCATGGCGGGCATGATCCCAGAGATGGAGGACGCACTAGCGCGCATGAGGCGCAGCGGCCTCCGGCCCGACGTGTACTCGTACAACATCCTCATCGGCGCCTATGGGGATGCGGGCATGCCGTGCACTAGTCCTGTACTCACAACCCCCTCCCGTTTTGTGCCCCCCCTGCCCCTGCCCCTGCCCCTGCCCATGTCCCTTGGCCCTGCTCCTGCCCATCCCCTGCCCCACCCCCATCCAGTTTCAACATAGTGATCCACGCATATGGCATGGCGGGCATGATCCCAGAGATGGAGGACGCACTAGCCCGCATGAGGCGCAGCGGGCTCCGCCCCGACGTGTACTCGTACAACATCCTCATCGGCGCCTATGGGGAAGCCGCCATGCCGTGCACTAGTCCTGTACTCACAACCCCCTCCCGTTTTGTGCCCCCCCTGCCCCTGCCCCTGCCCCTGCCCATGTCCCTTGGCCCTGCTCCTGCCCGTCCCCTGCCCCACCCCCATCCAGTTTCAACATAGTGATCCACGCATATGGCATGGCGGGCATGATCCCAGAGATGGAGGACGCACTAGCCCGCATGAGGCGCAGCGGGCTCCGCCCCGACGTGTACTCGTACAACATCCTCATCGGCGCCTATGGGGAAGCTGCCATGCCGTATGCATCAGTGAGCATGGTGCAGCACATGCACGCCGAGGGGCTGCTGCCCGATCAAGTCACCTACCAGAACCTGGTCTCGGTGTTTGAGAGAGCTGGTGACTTCCTGGAAGCTGCGCGCTGGTCGCTGTGGATGAAACAGGCCGGCTTCTCCCCCTCCTCTGGTGAGTCCCACTTCCTGCCCTCATTTCCTGGCTTGCTCACTCACTTGGTAGCCCTCTATGGGGACGCCGCCTATGGGGATGCGGGCATGCCGTGGGCGTCAGTGAGCATGGTGCAGCACATGCATGCCGAGGGGCTGCTGCCAGATCAAGTCACCTACCAGATCAACAATTTCTTAACTGATCTTCCCTGCCTGCCCCCTCCCTCTCTCGCCTCACTGCTCCCTCGCTGCAGCACCCAGCAACAACAGTGCTGCGAGCAACGATGGGGGCAACGCTGCTGCCAATCGCAGCAGTGGCAGCAGCGGGGCAAAGAGTGCAGCAGGCACCTCGAACCTGCCAGGAGCGGGGCAGCTGCCATCCGACCTGCTGTGATTGCCATGGGCAGTGACTGGGATGGGTGGTTGGGGTGGCGGGTTGGGAAGCAGTAATGCTGCTGCTGGCAGTGGCAGCAGCGGGGCCAAGAGTGTTGCAGGCACCTCGAACCTGCGAGGAGCGGGGCAGCTGCCATTGACCTGCTGTGATTGACACGAGACGGGCTGGCGGTAGGTCATCAATAGAGAGGAGACACGGAAGAGGAGGAGCTTCAATAGAAAAATCTCTTTCATAGAGAAATCTCTTTCGCCCGTCCGTCATCAAAGCCCCCCCAAGCTGGACATGCATTGGTCACCCCTCATCAAGAGGACAGAGAGACAGCCTTTGTGGGACCAGCCGTCTGTGCTAGACGATCACCCCATAGAGCTTGTTAGTTCGATTTGAGCAGAGCAGCACGTGAAGTCCATGCAAGAGCATGCTAGGTGCACGACCCCTCGTTGTGCAAGGAGTAGGGCAGACATGCTATCCTAGGCTTAGATGAAATAAGAGCGGTGGTGTGAGGGTGTCAAACCAGCCCCTCTCTGCCTTGCTGTGTTGCCCCTCCGTAGGCCTTGTTGGCCTGCCTGTGTTGCTTTCCTTTCTTTGTGGCCTCACTCCCTTTGCCACTTTCCTTTCCATTGTTTTGCCCCCTTCGGCCTGCTGGGTGGAAATTGTCTCCTCCTGCCTTTGCCCCTGCTTTCCTCTTTCTTTCCTTCCTGCCTCCTCTCCTGCTTTGCCTGCCTCTCTGGGCAACAGTGTAGGAAGGAGAAAAAGGGTTGCATGCCATACTGTAGTTTTTGCTTGCACAAGCATTAGAGATCTTAGGTAGGCTAGAATACAGTAGAGGTTTTACATGGTGATGTACTTGTTACAATCAGAAGAAAAAATGTTTTTTGGACTGCTTGCATGGCATGTTTTTTGAACCACACATCTGCCAAGAAAACAATACTCAATCTAAAAAACAATCTATATTTTCAAACCAAACTATGTACGACGAACCTGTACATACAAACCAAGTTGGCAACTGCGGTGTCGGTGACTCGGTACCATACTAAGGTAGTACCCTCTAAGACCACCTCCATAGTCTACTACAGGCGTTTCACTGTACTCCTACCTACCACCTCAAAGCATCCTATATTCCTACCACTTTCACCAAAATCCACAAGCCTCTCCTCCTCCCTACACCAACCTACCCACCTCCGCAGGTGTGGCACGGGACATGCCCAGTGTCATCACAATGCGAGCATATTCGCATGCCATAACTCGTCACCACCTTGTGGTTACCACCGCACTGCCGGCACGTAACCACAAGTCTCCCCTCGTCCCCATACCCACCTACCCCCCTCCACAAGTGTGGCACGGAACATGCCCAGTGTCATCACAATGCGAGCATATTCGCATGCCGTAACTCGTCACCACCTTGTGGTTACCACCACACTGCCGGCACGTAACCACCTTGCTCCCCCCGCACGTCCCACACCCTTTCGTCCCCGCATCATCATCAGTAGTCGGCAACCCTTGGATTAACTCCGCTAAAAAGTAATCGTCATACATCTGGAGTACAGTGTCCGCGTCGCCGATGTAATGCCCGCAGATGAAGAGGCGCGGAACGGAGCCCGCGGCTGCTGCTGCTGCAGGGGTTGCTGCCCCGGGTGCCATGAGCGTTTTGAGCTCTTGCCTGTATGAGACGCGCATGGAAATGTCCCTCTCCTCATAGACCACTCGTAGTGCCTGGAAGGGGGGGAGGAGGAGGAGAGTGTGTTTAAGGTGCCTAAGAACGAGACGTGCGTGGAGATGTCTCTCTCCTCGTCCACCACTCGTAGGGCCTGCAGGGGGGAGGGAGGTATGGAGAGAAGGCGTATGATCACTTGAGGGAATCCTCATGCAGCAATGTGCATGGAGATGTCTCTCTCCTCATGCAGCAATGTGCATGGAGATGTCTCTCTCCTCATGCAGCAATGTGCATGGAGATGTCTCTCTCCTCATGCAGCAATGTGCATGGAGATGTCTCTCTCCTCATGCAGCAATGTGCATGGAGATGTCTCTCTCCTCATGCAGCAATGTGCATGGAGATGTCTCTCTCCTCATGCAGCAATGTGCATGGAGATGTCTCTCTCCTCATGCAGCAATGTGCATGGAGATGTCTCTCTCCTCATGCAGCACCAGTAGGGCCTGCAGAGGAAGGGCGGAGGGGAGTGTGTTTCAGGGCCTCGTTTATTGGCATCAGGTTGGCACATGGCACATGGCACATGGCACATGGCACATGGCACATGGCACATGGCGCATGGCACATGGCGCATGGCGCATGGCACATGGCACATGGCGCATGGCACATGGCACATGGCGCATGGCACATGGCACATGGCACATGGCACATGGCAAATGGCACATGGCACAAGGTAAAGGAAAAACATAAGCTTTCGCAAAGCAAACAAGCAACCCACCGTACCTGCAGCACGTTCTTCGCTTTAACGCAGTCCTCAAAAGTTTTCCTCACCGCCCGAAGCGTGGTGGTATACACCACCACTGCGTCTGACCCGCCCGGCGGGCAGCGCTGTTCGAAACTTTCTAACAGCTGGGACCGGGGAGGAGGGGGAGGGGGTCCCGGGGGAACAACCGGCTTTGCTTCTATCACCGGCTCCTCCTTCTTTGCTGCTGCCTCCTCCCCTTGTGCTGCTGCACCCGCCTCCTTCCCTGCATCCCCTGCCGCCTCTCCTGCTGCAGCGTTTGCCCCGTTCTCCTCTGCCCCGGCACCAGCCTTGGCAGACTCAGCGTCAGCTGCATTGGCGGAGGCCACAACAGCAGCCACCCATTTTCCTCGCACCCCTCCAGCACCACTGCCAGCAGCAGCAGCAGTGGCCGTAGCACCACCAGCAGCGGCGGCAGCAGCAGCAGCAGCGGCGGCGGCCTCAGCAGTGGCGGCTGCTTCCAACTGGGCAGCCAGTCTCGCAACAAGCCCTCCCTTGATACCCTTCCTTTCCTTCTCCACTGCCACTCGCCTCGCCGCCTCTGCTTCTGCTGCTGCAGCCGTAGCAGCAGCCGGCAGAGGGGCGGCAGCAGCAGGAGCAGTGGCGGGAAGAGTAGTAGGAGGAGGAACAGATGGAGGAGCAGAAAGAGCGTTGACAGCAGCGGAAGAAGCGGCAGGCTCTACACGAGAAGAGGCGCTAGCTTTACCAGCAGTCCCCGATTTGAGAGGTTCTGGTGAGATGCTCCCTCCAAGTGCTACTGCTGCGTCTGCTGCAGCTTCAGTTCTCAATCGCTCTGTAAGTGGTGCTGCCTGCACTGCAGATGCCGGGTGTGATGCATGCACTTGCATGTGCTGTGCTGCTGCTGATGTGTCTTCCATTGGCGCTGCTACTACTGATGCTGCTTGTGCCGCCGCTCGTGTTTTTGCTGGTGTTGCCCCTGGTGCTGCTGCTGCTGGTGCTGCTGCTGGTGCTGCTGCTGGTGCTGCTGTTGCTGCCACTGCTGGTGGTGCTAATGCTGCTGCTGCTCTTGCAACATCAACCCTACCACTGCCAACCCTGCCACTGTCACTCCTGCCACCATAAACCACACTGTCAACCCGGCCACCATCAAAGCTTCGTCTCACAGCACTAGGGTCCGTCACCTGTCGTAGTGTGGGGCTGCTCACCCCACCGCGCAAGCTGCCCTGCCTGGGACTCGCCGCCCTGCCCGCCCCCCCTGCCAGCGGTACACTGCCCCTGCCTGGCAGTGCTGGAGTTGATGCACTCGCTGATACACCCACCCCACCTGCTGTCATGCCTGCAGGCCGTGGGCTGGCTTGTCCTATTCCCACGCCCCTGCGCATGGGGCTCACTCTGCCGCCCACCAGAGCAGCGTGCATGGGACTGACTCTGCCGCCCACCATGGCAGCGTGCATGGGACTAACCCTGCCGCCCACCATAGCAGCCTGCATGGGGCTAACTCGGCTGTTCGCAACGGCAGCATGCATGGGGCTGGCGAGGGGGGTGATTCGCTGCCAGTCCGCTGCACTGTGCTGCTCCAGAGCAGCCTCCATAGCATCCAGTAAATCCGGGTCAAATAGGAAATCACCCACATCCCCTCCCACTCCCTCTCCTGCTCCCTCTCCCTCTCCCTCTTCATCCTCCTCCTCCTCCTCTCCATCCTCGTCCTCCTCTCCCTCCTTCCCCTTCCCCTCCTCCGCTTCCTCGTCTTCCCTGTTTGACTCCTGTTCTCTCACTCCCTCCTTCCTGGCAGCTTCCTTTCCTGCCCCCGGATCTGAAGCAGCACCTGTAATAGCAGCATGCATACCAGCACTCGCATGCACTCTAGTGCCTGCACCTTCCACTCTGCCTTCTGGAGGCTCGCCTGGGCGACCTGACTTCTGAGGCGCCTCAAAAGTCGTGCCAGCACTCGCATGCACTCTAGTGCCTGCACCTTCCACTCTGCCTTCTGAACGCTCGCCTGTGCGACCTGAATGCCCGCCCGTGCGTCCTGATGGCTCGTATGTGCCTGCCACGATGGCGGCAATGGCTGCGGCATCGTCGACAGAGGCTGCTGTTGCGTCATCTGCTGCGGTTACTCTCTTAGCGCCCTCTCCCACAGCATCAGAGCGCGTGGCAGTGCCAGCACCAGCAGCAGCGCCCGCACCAGCAGCAGTGCCAGCACCACCAGCAGCAGCACTGTCCACAGGTGCTGCAAGGGGTGAACCAGCAACATGGGCCATCCCTGCATCAGTAGCAGCACCACCCACAGGTGCTGCCGCCCCCTGCCCTCCACTCCCACCCGCATCAGCCCCTGCAGCAACCTTCGCCCCTTTCTTCTTCTTTGTCTTCTTCGGAGTCTTCTCCTCCCCTTCCTTCGTCCCCTTCACCCCCTTCTTCTTTTTCTTCTTCTTCTTCCCTGTCCCCCCTCCCGACCCTGCTATTCCTGTAACCCCGTCCACTCTACCTCCCTCTCCTCCTCCACCTTCCCCACCCTCCTCGTTCCCATCCGGCCCAGTCCCTTGGTCAGGGAGCAGGTTCAGCAGCAGCTGCTCCAGCGTCTGTTGATACTCCCTCTCTCTTCGAAGGTCCTCCTCAAAGCTCGCCAGAACATCCGGATCGAAAATGAACTCCTCTGCACCGTCTTGCAAACCGTCGGTCGGGTCAGCCCACTCACCTCCATCCAATCCGGCACCACCTAACAACTCTCCATTTTCCGCGTCCACGTCAGCACCGTCTCGCTGGTATTCCAAACCATCATCCATAGCTGCCCCCTGCATCGTTGCTTCCCCTCCTTGTAACGCCTTCGGTGCCAAGGCGTCCCCTACAACAGCTGCAGCTGCTTCGTCAGCTGCTCCGTCAGCTGCTCCGTCAACTTCTCCGTCAACTGCTCCCTCAGTTGACTTATAATTTCCCAATAAACCACCTTCGCTCTCTTCTCTCTCATCACCTGCCGCGAGTTGCTTCGATTCCGCAGCCGCATCTCTTACAGCACTTGTCCCTGCCTGCTCCTCCTTCCCCTCCGCCTCCGCCGCCGTTGCCGCCGCTCCCGGGTCCCGCTTCTTCGGTTTCCCATGCATGCTAACAGTCTTGGCTCGACCCTTTCCTCTGGACTGTCCGCGCCGCTCTTTCGTCGACGAAGCACCAGCGCCATCGCCGCCGTCGCTGGTGCGTCCGTCGGCGCGACTGTGAAGCTCGGACTTGGACTGGATGCATCCCATTAGGCGAGAAACGAATGATTATGGATACGCCACGTGAGACGCGTCAGGATACAGATATTTAGAGACGTGTCAAAGATTGTGCGATTCTAACTCGTACGAAACGCATCCCATGCGGCAGGGCAAGCGCGTGAAGCTGCTGACATGTATAGACTAGCTTACGGATCTTTGCGTCTACCGCGTCAGTTACTGACATTCTGACGTGTACAGACCTTTGAAATTTGGGCTGGTAGGAGTATGCATTTCGTAGGGCAAGATAATAGAGGTCGCGATCACTTGCTCAAGTTACAGATGGTAGAGAGCATTTATGGAGAATAATTGCGAGTGTTAGTGCGCAATCGCGTGGTAAGAAATCTGTGTATCTGAAATAACTATGGAACCACGTGCGCGTCTCGAGTCTAAAAATAAGAGTTTCCCAGGCGGAGAGCTCTGAACTTACTCAGCGACACGATCCCTGCCACGCTGCCAGGAAATTCAGAGAATCAGAGCCGTTGAGCCGAAAATATGTGTGAGTTGGAATGAAGCTGTCCGCACTTGGTTATGATTGGCAGGCAGCGTGCAGGAGAATCTCGAGGCTCCAAATTCTCAAGCTCACACCAGAAGTTTGGAGGGAAATTTGTGCCAATACCGAGGCATGGATCTCGCACTCGCTGACGCACTCGCTGACAGCCCCTAGGCGTAACAGGTCAGTGGTAACTCAAGATGCGCGAGCCAATCATGTTGCGGATATTGCTACTCACGGTTCTCGCAAACTGGCGAAGTCAGTTCTCCTTCGCTCGTCGCGAGGGAGGTTCTGCTTCGACTCGTCACGAGCACGTCTCGTTCTGGGTGCTTCATGGGAGTACATACTCACTCAAAACCCTTCCCGACCCAACCTTGTAATTGCAAACAACCGTTTTGTAGCGCAATCAAACGTACTGAAATCCGTATTGTACCAGAGCACTTCACATCACACACCATCTCATCTCACCTTCAACGGAAGCTCGATTTGAAAGCTGGAACAGCCCTTGGGAATGCATCGATTGCTGCTCCATGGTTAGGAGGAGTGAAACAATATTCACCTTGAGGGTTTCCTGAAGATTGTTTATCCATGAAGTTTCGAATGAAGCTGGACAAGTGGTCGCTTTCGATTCCGTTAGCAAGCTTTTGTTTTCATGGTCGGTTTTCTGTCAAAAAGCTATCAGTGGGTCCCACAGGCTAGCATTGTCACCACTTCCCTCCACGTTTTCGGCAAATTCCATGCTAACATGGGCCTTGAGAGAACCTGCATGCGCTCGCTGATCGAGCGAAGCATCTTAGCAGAGAGACCAGCATTGCGAATGCTGTCCAGGAACGGTTGAATCGAGATGGCTCTTCACGCTGCTGACGACTTCGCACTGCTGCAGCGATCGAGAAAGTTGCCGTCAGTCAGACGCGTCACGGATCGCAGTGAAAGTAAACAGAACGCGGTTGGTCGAGTCATGCCTCCTAGCAAGTCGAACCGTAAGCGAGTCAGGACATCAGACAAGCCAAACGGCAACGGCGACGAGCCCCATTGTGAGGCCACGCAAAGCAGACGGAGAGGAAAAGGTCGATCAGCGGGGAATGGATCGCAGGATGCTAGCAACGGTAACGATCCGCGAAGGGATTCCCCACCACTGGCGGCGACGAGTACGACGGCGACAACACCAATTGCGGAGGTCAGATCGGTTTCACCTCAGCAGCTTCTGACAGAAGCTCAGCGCGCTGCTGCTTTTCACGATCCCGACGTTCCACTGCTCGTCGTCGCTGCTGCTGTGAGTGGGTACAGACGCCATGACTGATGGCTCTTGCTTGTGCTGCAAGTTCACTCTTAAATTATACTTGTCATCCAACCTTGTGTGCAAAGCCACTCTGAGCATTGCGTTTCCGTTCCCTGATTATGATAAACAGGAATTGATGAGTTTATGGAGGATGTCCTCTCAGCTGACAACCGCTGGTCAGCTCAGCTTGTGCTCCACTTCGCCTAACATGCTTGTGTCTCATCATGCTTTTGCTTCCACTTGCTTTTGTGCTTTCAGGGCTCGGGAAAGACTTCGGTGATCTGCCACCGCATCATACACCTCATTTCCCAGGTAACACCCTTTTCCACCTTCTGTTTTCCTAATACAGCAAACAGAACAATTGTGAATGTGGATCTCTTCCGCCTAGTCTGATGGTCCAGTTTGCTGCTATTGAAATAACGCATCCGAAGTCGTGAAAGTCTAGCTTGATTTTCGCTGAACGTTACACTGCACTACTGATTTCGTGTCTCCTTTTCCTCTCTCCGCTCTCTTCCCCTTGCTCCCTTCCATCCCTCTCCATCTCTATCTACTGTTCCAGGGTGTTCCTCCAAGTGAGATCCTCGCAGTCACAGTGAGTTCACGGTACCACATGCTGAGTCAAATGCATGCAACCTTAGATGCCTGCCTAGGAGACTCGCTACTCAATCTTCAGTTTATGTTTGATGCCATTTCCAATACTGCATCTCTGTTTCATGTCGTCCAGAATGGTGATGTTGGTGTGCAAGCTGACTACTGGTCTCCCATTTTTCTCCCATTTCCTTTTCGCCTCCTACTCCTTCCCGTGCCTCTTTCCCCCCTCTCCCTCCTCCATCCCATTTCCTCCCCCCTCTGATCCCTCTGTTATGACCCTATCTCTCCAATCCACACGCACTCCGACTACGTGTTCCCTTTCCTGCAGTTCACGAGACGAGCAGGTCAGAGCCTAAGGCACCGACTGCTCCAGCTCGCAGCAGCAATGGAAGCACATCGCTCCAACAACGCACAGCTCTGCACTGATGTTTCCACCGGAGCTGCTGCCCAACCCGCTGGATCTGCAGCAGCGGTGGCAGCAGTGGGTGCAGCAGTAGTGGCAGCAGTGCGGATCTCCACCTTCCACTCCTTCTGCTTGCAGACCCTCAGGCAGTTCGCACACCTGGCGGGCCTGCCTAAGGACTTCACCGTCTTCCCTCCCAAGATGCAGGTCAACACCGAGTCCATCCCTTCCCTTCCCTGTCTGGTCCGACCCATGCTGTCTCCTCTGTCGACCTACTTCAGTTTTCTCCAATGCATTTCCTCTTTCGTTGGTTGGTGATGGCCTTCCTCTCCAAGATTCAGGACAGATCCTAGTCTTGTACTGTCCTATCTGCGTGACACAGCCTTGTTCCACCTTCCTGTATGCGTGTGACGCGTGCAGGCAGAGACGTTGATGGAGCTGCTGCAGGAGTGGGCGGAGAGGAAAGCTGCAGAGGCAGGGGAGCATGGAGCCAGTCGAATAAGCGTGCCAACAGGAAAGAAGGTAAGCAGGCAACTCTGCTCTCGTCTCTGTTCGTTGGTCTCTCTCAACTGGTCCGTCTGTTCATCAGAAACCTGAGTACAACTTCCCTGACTTTCGTCTGTCTGATGACATGCATTCTTCTATCCGTCATTTCTTGACTCGATAACTTTCACTCACCACCACACCCCACTCCTTTCCACTGCACTCCACCTCACTGCACCGCACACAAACCCCACCAGCTGCATTATATCATCCGCCGCTTCCTGCACGATTTTGGCCACCTGGAAGCCGAGAATGCAGCAATGCAGGTGCTGCAGGGCTCTCGCCCTCTGCACCAGCCAGCAGCAGCAGCAACAGCAGCACAAGCTTCAGACCCATCTGCTTCTTCTGCTTCCGCTGCTGCTGCTGCTGCTACGAATCATGGTAACTCGCACAGAAGGAGGCGGATATCGTTTGGAGACGGCGGAGGAGGAGGGGGGAAGGGTGACGAGGATGGAGGGCTGTTTGCATGGCTGTGGGAGCAGTACCGGCGCCGCCTCGTGCTCAACAAGGCCGTCGACTTCTCCCAGTTCGCCCCGTAAGTAACATTTGTGGTTCATGTGACTCTGGAGTCTACTTAAACCTTACTCAGTATCGGCGCCGCCTAGTGCTCAACAAGGCTGTCGACTTCTCCCAGTTCGCCCCGTGAGTTACATTGATGCTTCACATGACGTTTAAATCGACTCAAAAGTCACGCAGTATCGGCGCCGCCTCGTGCTCAACAAGGCCGTCGACTTCTCGCAGTTCGCCCCGTTAGTTCCTCCTAGTTCTCTTGTAGGTTCATATTGAGAGTTCTCAAATTCAACCAGGTTCACAACTTGAAGTTTAACCGTTTCATGTCTTTCACGCCACCAACCACCCACTCGCCTCCTCCTTTTCGTGATAACCACATACTTCTTCGTCTCGTTCTTCTTATATGTTGGGAATGTGTGGCATACCTAGGCTATACGTATCGCCTATGGTTGCGCATACCTGTGCGTTATGGCTATGCATGCCTACTAGAAACCGGTGGGACTCTCCTTAATTACTTCCATGTTCCGTCTGCTTTGATTTTGTGGCTACGCGTGTCCATCAGCAACTGGTAGGTGTCTCCACTCCATAATCACTGCCCTCCTTTTGCCCTCCATAATCCTTCTGCTGGTCGTGCGTGGCAGCAAGGCGGTGAAGCTGCTGCACTTACATCCAGAGATACTCGCGTCGAGCAGCACGCGCAGCAGCAGGGAGCACGTGCATAGCAGAGCGCGCACTGCTGCAGCTGCAGCTTCGTCCAGGAGCCACCTGCGTGTGTCGCACGTGCTTGGTACGACTCTCCCCTTGTATTCTTCTTCCATTGCACCTCAGCTTCCGCCTCCTGATTATTTTATGAACCCCTGCCCCATCCTCCACTCCCCATTCCCACTTTCCTTCCAATACTTTCCTCTCGTATCCGTCATTTCTCCCTCTCCCCTTTTCGACCTTCCCCCTCCCTCCTCCGTCCTCCCCACACGCACGCACACACGCCAGTGGACGAGTTTCAAGACACCGACAGCTGTCAGATGGAGCTGCTTCTGCTGCTCTGCCGCCCGCTGCCGTCCGCGCCGACCCTGACCCTCGTGGCCGACGACGACCAGCAGATCTACTCCTTCCGCGGCGCCATGGGCCTGCCGAACCTGCGCCGCTTCCTCCGAACCTACCCGCAGGCTCGGACAGTCTGTCTCGACCAGAACTTCCGAAGCTGCGGCTCGGTGGTGGAGGCCGCCCGCCACGTCATCGCGCACAACCAATGGCGGCACGCCAAGTGGATGGTGACAGCAGCACCAGTGGGCCCGCTTGTCTCCTTATGCGAGTGCCGCACGGATCGGTGCGAGGCGGCAGCTGTGGTCGGCAAGATCTGTCATCTAGTGGGGTCGTGCGGGGTGCCAGCGAATCAGATCGCAATCCTGTACCGTGTGCAGGTAGTAGGAAAGGTGATTCGGCAGTATCTGAAGAGCCATGGGATCAAGGTGTCTTCTGCTGCGACAGGAGGAGGGGGAGCAGGAGGCTTTGGAGGTGGAGGAGGGGGAGGAGGAGGAGGGGCGGCAGGAGGAGGGGAATGGGGAGCAGCAGAGGAGGATGGGGTAGCAGTAGCTGCAAATGGCTTTATAGCAGAGGGGGGTAACAGTGCGACGGCTGGTGCTCGGGGAGGAAGGGGGACGGGGACAGTAGGAGCAGTTTTCCATGATATCCTGGCTCTTCTGCGATTGGCTGCCAATGAATCGGATGACGTGGCGTGTCGGCAGGTCCTGCGCTTTGTGTGTCCGCCGCCCACCCGCCAGGTGGCAGTCTGTCTGCGCACGCTACAGTGCGCCCCACACCGCATCTCCCTCCTGCCTGCCGCCCGCATGAGTCTTCACCTCCTCGGGATCTCCCGCTGCGCCGCCCTCTCCAACGTGTCTTCCACCAACCCAGGCAGTGCTTGTAACGGATCAGCAGGCAACAGCAGTGCTTATAACGGATCACACTCTACCCATGCACACAATGCAGCCGACCCCGCATGGCCCCACACGCTTTCACCAGACGACACGGAGGTTCTAGAGGGAATAAGGAGGATGGCTGCATCAGTCTCTGAGCTGCAAGGTCTTCTGGGCATCCCGCCGCCTGGCTGGTCCTCTCCCCCTGCTCCTGCCTCCTCTACTCCTGCCTCTGCATCGCGCCCCCCTGCAAGCAGCAGGAGGAAAGGCAATGCTGCTGGGATCATGGGTCTGGGTGGTGGTCCCTCGCCCTTCCCTACGTTTGTTCACGGAGGAGGAAGGGAGGAGGAGGGGGAGGACGATGGAGTGTCCTGTGAGGCTTTGGTGAGGTGTGCACTTCGGTTTGTAAGAACAGTGAGGGGTGGGGAGGGGCGGAGTGGGGCGGGGGTGGGGGCGGAGGTGGTGGTGCAGGGGGTGCTGGGGGGCGGAGGGGGAGGGGGTGTGGTAGGAGCAGTTGGGGGAGGGAGAGGGGGTGGTAGGACGGGTGGGGGAGGGTGGGGAGGCGGGCGTGGGGGGTCGGGGGGGCAGGGGGGAGGGGCAGGTGCATTGGATCCAGCCATGTTTGCCGGTGTGAGAGCTCTGCTTCTTGAGGCAGCAGCTTTTGACAGGGAGAGGAGGCATACACGGCAGCCGATGCAGGCGAGAGTAACGAGTGCTGCAGCAGCAGTGGCGTCATCAGCAGCAGGAGCAGCAGCAGGAGGAGCAGCAGGAGCAGCATCAGGAGGATCTGCATTGAGGAAAGCAGGTGAAGGAGCAGAAGCAGTGGGGGGAATGGGGTTGGGAGTTTTGCCAGGAAGGGTGGTGTCAGGGTGTGATGCGGGGAGCGAAAGAAACAACTGCGGCAACGGTAACAGCAGCAGCGGAATTAGCAGCAGCAGGCACATGGCCAATCCAGGTGGTTACTTCTCCCCAGCTACCACCCCTGTGAAAGACCGTTACAGTCCGGGTGGCAGCAGTGAGAGCAAGCAGGGCGGCAGGAGGCCGAGCTACGCCGACCTGCTGCTGCAGCGTGACGGAGTGGTGGGAGTGGTGGGCGGCGCTGCACAGGGAATGGGGCTCGCCCGATGGTCGAATGCTGCAGGGACTTACGCTGCAAGGCAAGCTGAGTTTGAGAGAAGGATGGGGAGGCAAGGAGAGATGGGCTTGGAGGAGGCGCAGGCGCATTGGATCCGGCCATGTTTGCTGGGGTAAGAGCCCTTCTTGTGGAGGCTGCAGCATTTGACAGAGAGAAAAGGCAGACACGGCTGGTTATGCAGCTAGGGTAATGAGTGCAGCAGCAGCAACAGCATCAGCAGCAACCGCAGCAGCAGCAGCAGGTGCAGCTGCATTGAGGAAAGCTGGTGAAGGAGCAGAAGGAGCAGGGCAAATGGGGTTGGGAGATGTGCCAGGAAGGGTGGTGTCAGGGTGTGATGCGGGGAGCGAAAGAAACAACAGCGCCAACGGTAACAGCAGCAGCACTATAAGCAGCAGCAGGCACATGGTTAATCACGGTGGTTACTTTTCCCCAGCTACCACCCCTGTGAAAGACCGTTACAGTCCGGGCGGCAGTGAGAGCAAGCAGGGCGGCAGGAGGCCGAGCTATGCTGACCTGCTGCTGCAGCGTGAAGGAGTGGTGGGAGTTGTGGGCGGCGCGGCACAGGGAATGGGGCTCGCCCGATGGTCGAATGCTGCAGGGACTAGCACTGCAAGGCAAGCTGAGTTTGAGAGACGGATGGGGAGGCAAGGAGCGATGGGCTTGCATGATCCCAGTGCTGGTGCTGATGCTGGTGGTCATATTCATGGTGATGGTAAGGATGGTGAAAATGGGGACGGAGAGAGGGAGGTGGAGAGGGAGGGGGAGGAGGATGGGGAGGAGGGAGAGGTAGTGGTTCAGTTTGTGGACAGAGTGATGGAGAGAGTGCATGAGAGGGAGCTCGGCGTGGGTGTGGAAGAGGGATTGGGAGGGGTGGGGGACGGTGCTGGTGAGAGAGATGGTGGAGGGGGACGCGGAGGGAGGCGAGCAGGGCGAGGGGGTGAGGGGAAGGGGAGGGGGAGTGGGGGGAGTGGTGGGAGAGAGAGTGAGCAGGACAACGGAGGGGTGGTGCTGAGTACGATTCACCAGGCCAAGGGGCTGGAGTGGCAGGCTGTGATTGTAGTGAGGGCGAACGAGGGCGTGCTGCCACTGGTGGACTTCAGTAGAGTCACACAGGCCCCTGCCACTGCCGCCACCACCAACTACTCGCCCACGCCCCAAACCCTACAACCGACAACAGCGACAACGACAGCAGAAGCAGCTGCAGCTGCAGCAGCAGCACAGGGGGGATCATCGCGACCAGGTGCCTATACGGCAGGTGGGGCAGTGGCAGGAAGAGAGGGGTGTGGGCGTGAGTGTGGGTTGCGGCCCCTGCCTCTGCTGCCTGCCATGCCCCCGGACTACGACGCTCATCTGGAGGAGGAGGTGAGCTGAGATCTGAGTCGTTTACTGGTCGCGACGTCCCAAAAAATGAGACTTCTCTAGCCTGCCATGCCCCCAAACTATGATGCTCAGCTAGAGGAGGAGGTGAGCTGAGATCTTTGAAACGTTTAGCAATCATGACGTTTCAAAAACTGAGACGTCTCACAGTTTGAGATCTCTCAAGCCTGCCATGCCCCCGGACTAGGACGCTCAATTTGAGTCGGAGGTGTGCGGAGCAGGCGCATGTGTTTTCTGGGATTTTATGTGGATATGGATCAATTCTTCTGTGCATCTGCATGTTTCTTCCTCAATGCACCTGCATCTTCCCTGCATGTGCCCCATTGTTCCTGTCCTCATCGCAACAGAGGAGGCTTATGTACGTGGCGATCACCAGAGCACAGCAGCATCTTATGGTGAGTCTGCACGCATGCACTCCACCTTCTCTCCACCTATGCTTCACTCACAGAGCTCTCCACCTATGCTTCAGTGATAGAGCTTACTGAAGGCTGAGTTGATTGTCCTACCATACGCTCAATGTCTTTGCCTTGTTCTTTTCGCCTGGTATCATACTGCCCATTACTTGTTACTCCTGCTCCTCTTCTCTAAACATGCTCCACCTGTGCTGTTTTTTCATTGGCCTAGGTCACTCATGTGATGTCTGCTGCTGGCCAACCAATGCTCCCATCCAGATTCCTCGCAGAGCTCCCTCCGTGTAAGTGATCAATTGCCAGTCTGTGGTGCTTCATGCGTGTACACATTTCGTGTTATGAATTGCGTTCACTTGAACCTCGCGAACCTAAGAACCTCTCCTTGACTCATTAACCTACCATGCCATATGATGATATGTTTCCCTTGCCATTGAATACGCAGCTGCGGTGCATCGCACAACTCAGTACGACGAGAGGCCGACCAATCATGTGCAACAGTTCGTGTCACGACAGTCACAATCTTCGTCCTAGGTTATCATGTCTTGGATATTACGATCACAGAATTCATGGCCTTACAGCATGTTCTTTGTCTCAAGGACGCACAATGGCATGTTGGAATGAAAATTCCACTTTCCAGTATACAGATTGTGTACTGCTTTCGCGATTCCTGAATGACCGATCGCAAAAACGATGCGTTTTTTAACAGGTCCAGTAATTTGCCCCTTTCAATGCTCCCTCACGACCCTGAGTGCCACGCAGAAAAAAGTCTTCGAGATCCAAGCCTTGTTTATGTTCTGCTTGTGAGCGGAGTCCTACCATGCCGTCTGTCCAATGCCGTTTTTGCACACTGATGTTTACTTCCGATGACAATGCTTACGATCACGAGAGGTCGGCCCATTATCCCCAATATTCATGTCCCTTGTGCGATAAGAGCTTCGACTCAGTCGCAGGGCTTCGACACCACCAGACTATCAAACACCCCATAGGAGTTTCATGTAGATTTTGTCAGCTCCGCTTTAATTCTGTTCATCCGCCATTGCTCACGAGCTAGATCAACACAAGTTTAATGTTTCCTGCAGGTTGTGCTCGCACCGCTTCCAGTCGATAGAGGAGGCCGTGGCTCATGAGCTACGCTCACACGGCTTCTTAGCAACTTGCCGGTTCTGCAGCCAGGCGTTTGGATCAGAGGAAGCTGTACGTCAGCACGAAGCGAGTGTCCATTTTCCAATGGTGAAGTGTGGCATTTGTGGCATGAATTTTAACGACCAGGCTGAAGCATGGGAGCACGCCAACGACTCGCACGTTCGAACTTATTCCAGTGTATTTTGCAATAGAGTTTTCGGAAGCGAGCATTCCTTGTCCCAGCACGAGGACGCGAAGCATCCCAGTGGGCAAATCGTGTTCCAGGGCGGGTATTATTATTAAACGGGTGGTGGAGCTGATACGAACGATGCCTGTGCGTGTATTATTGTCTCAATACGACCATACTCCAAGCACTTCCACGTAACACCCACAACGATGATGGGAGAGCCGCTAGACAATGTCATGTTCCGTGTTTGTCAGTAACATTCGCTCAAACAGAACAATAGATATGTACATATATATCTAATAAAATGTTGTGTCATGTTCCGTGTTTGTCTGGTTTTCTTCGCTGTAAGCTTCATAGTACAGTGATTAACATGTCAGAATGTTGTATTTGTCTAGCCTGCAGTGGGGTACTCTATAGCGAGTACAGCCCAATTTAGGGTTTCCTATATGTATCCTGCTGCTGCTAGTCCAAACCTCTCCTTTCTCATTCTAACTTTTCTGCTGATTCTGACATGGTATCAGAGCAGGTCGACCCCCCCGGGTCGATCCTGTGGATGGGCCCACCCAATGCTTCCGCTGCTGTACTGCCTGTCGCGCGCCCCGGGCGCGCGACGTTTTCTTCCTGCCGCGCGCTCCGGGCGCGCGGCGGTTTTTCTTCCCGCCGTGCGCTCGGGGCGCGCGGCGGTTTTCTGCTCGTCGCGCCGCCCTGCTGGTCGCGTTCTGCTCTGCCCTGCCCGTGGCGCCGCCCTGCTAGCCGCGCAACGCCCTGCCCTGAACGTCGCGGCGCCCTGGGGGCCTGCGCGAGCCCCCCCCCCTCCCGTCGCCCGTCGTGGCGCCTCGGGGGCCCGCGCGTCAGCCCCTCCCGTCGCCCCGTCGCGGCGCCCTGGGGGCCCGTGCGCTGCCCCCCTCTCGTCGCCCGTCGTGGCGCCCCGGGGGCCCGCGCGTCAACCCCTCCCGTCGCCCCGTCGCGGCCCCCTCCCTTCGCCCGTCGTGGCGCCCCGGGGGCCCGCGCGTCAGCCCCTCCCGTGCCCCGTCGCGGCGCCCTGGGGGCCCGCGCGCGGTCCCCTCCCGTCGCCTGTCGAGGTGCCCTCGGGGGCCCGCGCGTCGCCCCCTCCCGTCGCCCGTCGAGGCGCCCCGGGGGCCCGCGCGTCGCCCCCTCCCGTCGCCCGTCGAGGCGCCCCGGGGGCCCGCGCGTCGCCCCTTCCCGTCGCCCGTCGAGGCGCCCCAGGGACCAGCGCGCCGCCCTGCTTCCGCTCGCCCGCTACCCGCGCTCCTGCCCCGTGCTGCCTGTGTTAGGGTTTGGGGGTGGCGAGTCTGGGGGTGTGTGCGCCGTCCACTGCTCCTCCTCCTCCTCCGTCTCCCACTGCTGCAGCTGCCGCTGAGGGGGGTGGATGTGTGGGATCCGTCGGAGTGGTACTATGGGGGTGGCGTGTGAGCAGTGCTAGGGGAACAGCAGGGGGTGTGTGAAAAGGGTGTGGGACAGCTGGGGGAGGTTGAGTGGAGGCAGCCGTCTTGTCGTCCGCAGCACCTGTAGTCCGGGGCTCTGCCGCTGGTAGCCCAGAGAGCCTGCTGCGCCTGTCGCCCGTGGGTCCGTTGCTCCTGCCGCTCGTCTTAGCCGCGGAGCCTGTTACTCCTGCAGTCCGGGGCTCTGCCGCCGGTAGCCACAGTGCGCGCCGCTCCTGTTGCCCGTGTGTCTGCAGCTTCAGCCGTCGCCTCCCATCTTCTCGCCCCCACAGTCTCTCCTCCTCCTCACTTGCCCTCTGTGATAGCCTCTAGCTTTGCTTATCATTGTGAACTATTGCTCTGCCTGCTTGCTGTGCTGATTACGCCCCACTTTGGCTATGGGGGTGTGTCAGAATGTTGTATTTGTCTAGCCTGCAGTGGGGTACTCTATAGCGAGTACAGCCCGATTTAGGGTTTCCTATATGTATCCTGCTGCTGCTAGTCCAAACCTCTCCTTTCTCATTCTAACTTTTCTGCTGATTCTGACATAACAAACTATTTTTCTGTAGCTAGTGAGCGACGGTTTTCAGCAACCTCCTTGATGCTGCATTCACCGCGTCGCGGTTCGAGTCGTTCGGCATTCCCCATGAGGTCATTCCCCAAGGGTCACGTTAGCCTCAGTACATATTGTATCGAAAATCAGCACACTTCTCGCACACTTTTTTATTTTCTGATTTTGGCTTGTTCTGTGACACCACCGCCTCCTTCAGCAGCAGTACCAGAGGAGTGTGTATTGTTAGCAGCATCCTAATTTTGACTTCGTCTCTACTTTGAAACGGAACCAAGATGCTGGTTGTTGAGTGTCGATACTGCCCTGGCTCTTTCAATTCAGCGGACCAAGCGCGGGAGCATGAAGAGGAGGAGCACTGGCCCACGTATCCTTGCCTGATATGCGACCGTGGATTTAATTCGGTTCAAGGCCTTCGAGACCACCGGAATAAGAAGCATCCGCATCTGTATTGCTGTCGCATATGCAGCAAGCCATTCACGTCCACTCGAGCTGTGATGGATCATGAACGGATGGTCCACACTTGGAAGGTTCCCTGTCGGATCTGCGACGAGATGTTTGATTCCGTCGAGGACGCTGCGAAACACGAGAATGACTCTCACCCAATCTATGTGAAGTGCAGGCTATGCGACCAAGAATTTGCTACTCCAAAAGCTGCTGGACAGCACGAACAGGACAAGCATACTCCCGTCTTGTCGTGTGAAATTTGTGGAGATCGCTTCTACGACAAGGATCAACTCTTAGATCATGAAGATACCATACACCCGTTCACCTTCAGCTGCGACATGTGTGACCGTACATTCAGAACTAGCCACTCCTGCGTGCAACACATGGAAGCAAAACATTATTGGGTGAGGGAGTACTGAACCTGGAGTTTTGGCTGCTGCTCCATGACAGTCATGACTCATGAGATGAGATGCTCGCCTTGCCACATTATGCTCCACTACGCCAAGTTTTCTCGAGAATCAACGTTTTGTACACAGAAGAGGATTTCGATTACTGCATTAGACATACTTATCAAAGTAGGAATGCAATGTCAGGAACGGAATGATGTCTTGACTAAGGTTGGTTGGGGTACATAAACCTAACCCTAACTGTTGTACCCCATATGACACACATCACTAAGGCTATAACATCTGACATGCAACGGAATGATGAGATTAGGAATGTGGGTGATACAAATAGCAAACCCTAACTGAGTTGTACTCACTAAGGAGCACCTCACTACAGCCTATCACAAATACCAACATATGACACACCCCCAT